AAGGGTTGAGAAGTTAGAGGGTTACTATGTTGTGGGGTTGTTAACCAATGTCATAAAACAACATGTGTACTACTGTTTCATGAGAAACTATTCGTTCTGTAAGCCTTCACCTGAAGTACAATAAAATATTAAATAAAAAAAAAAAAAGTATACAGATCAACACGCAGTCGTTCGAACTTTAACTGTGTGGTTTGAAGTCAGGAAAGGTGTGCATCAGGGTTGTATAATTTCACCATACCTATGCAATCTGTATGCTTAGCAAATAATCCGAGAAGCTGGACTATATGAAGAAGAATGGGGCATAAGCACTGGAGAAAGACTCATTAACTACCTGCATTATGCAGATGACACAACCTTGCTTGCTGAAAGTAAAGAGGACTTGAAGCACTTACTGATGAAGATCCAGTAATCCACAGCCTTCAGTATGGATTACACCTCAGCATAAAGAAAATAAAAATCCTCACAACTGAACCAATAAGCAACATCATGATAAATGGTGAGAAGACTGAAGTTGTCAAGGATCTCATTTTACTTGGATCCACAATCAACACCCATGGAAGCAGCAGGTAAATCAAAAGACACATTGCACTGGGTAAATCTGCTTCAAAAGACCTCTTTAAAGTATTGAAAAGCAAAGATGTCACCTTGAAGGCTAAGGTGCTCGTGACCCAAGCTATGGTGTTTTCAGTTGAGTTATATGCACTTGATAGCTGGACGATGAATAAGGAAGACCTAAGAAGAACTGACACCTTTGAACTGTGGTGTTGGCGAAGAATACTGAATATACCATGGACTGCCAAAAGAACAAACAAATCTCTCTTGGAAGAACTACAGCCAGAATGCTCCTTAGAAACAAGAAATGGCGAGACTTCATCTCACATACTTTAGACACATGATCAGAGGGACGAGTCCCTGGAGAAGGACATCATACTTTGTAAAGTAGAGGGTCAGCAAAAAAGAGGAAGACCTTCAATAAGATGGACTGACACAGTGGCTGCAACAAGGGGCTCAAACATAACAACGACTGTGAGGATGGAACAGGACTGGGCAGTGTTTTGTTCTGTTGTACACAGGGGTGCTATGAGTTGGAACCAACTCAACGGCACCTAACAACGACAACATTAAGAGTAAGAAATTGTTTTCTGCTCTAATATTCTGCTCCCATTGGATCTCTCTGTCCTATTCTTAGCTTGTGAGCTTTTAAAAGGCATCTTGTAATTTTAGGCCATATCAGCATCAACATCACAAGGTAACACATAATGAATGTGCCCTAAAGCTTTGGCCCTCTGCTATATTTTTAGGATAAGACCTAGGAAAATGTCTGCTGACAGGAAAATAATGTTATCCACAAAGGGAAAATAAACTTACAATGATTTCTTTTGTTAGCTCTTGCAAATGAAAAACACAGAACCTGACAAAGTAATGAGGCTAGTTTTTATGGGTAACTGAGATAAGCTGTTCACAACAGTAAAATTAAAGCACAGCACAGTCTGTTTCAAGTGTGAAAAAAGCAAAAGGCTAGAGATCAAACCAAAACACTGTAAGTGTAAGATCAACATACAAAAAGACTCAACTGCATTTCTATATGCTAGAAATGAACAATCTGAAAATCAAATTAAGAAAACAGTTCATTTAAAATAGCATCAAAAAGAATACTTAATAAAAATTTAACAAAAGAAGTATAAGACTTGTACACTGAAAACTTAAAAAGACATTGTTGAAAGAAATCTCAGAAGTTTCAAATAAAAGGAAAGATATCCTATGTTCCTAGATCAGAACACTTAATATAGTTAAGATAGCAATACTCCTCAAACTAAAGTTGAAAATCTGAACAGACCTGTAACAATGGAAGAGATTGAAAAGGTAATTAAAAAAACTCCTAACAAAAAAAAGCCCTGGCCCAGATGGCTTTACTGGAGAATTCTACAAACATTCAGAGAAGATCTTGTAACAGTATTATTTAAATTATCGAAAAAACACAACGTAATAAATGTTGGAGAGGTTGTGGAGAGACTGGTATACTTATGCACTGCTGGTGGGAATGTAAAATGGTACAAAACACTTTGGAAATCAATTTGGCGCTTCCCTAAAAACCTAGAAGTACCGTATGATCCAGCAATTCCACTCCTTGGAATATATCCTAGAGAAATAAGAGTCATCATACGAATGGATAAATGCAAACCCATGTTCATTGCAGCACTGTTCACAACAGCAAAAAGATGGAAACAACCTAGGTGCCTATCAACGGACGAATGGATAAACAAATTATGGTACATACACACAATGGAATACTATGCAATGATAAAGAACAACGATCAATCCACGAAACATCTCACAACATGGATGAATCTGGAAGGCATTATGCTAAGTGAAATTAGTCAGTTGCAAAAGGACAAATATTGTATAAGACCACTATTATAAAAACTCAAGAAAAGGTTTAAACACACAAGAAAACATTATTTGATGGTTATGAGGGTGGGTAGGGAGGGAGAGGGGGAGTTCACTAACTAGATAGTAGACAAGAATCATTTTACGTGAAGGGAAACACAACACACAATACATGGGAAGTCAGCACAACTGGACTAAACCAAAAGCTAGTAAGTTTCCTGAACACAACCAAACACTTCGAGGGACAGAGTAGCAGGCGCGGGGTCTGGGGACCATGGTTTCAGGAGACA